GCGCGAGCAGGGGAGGCCGAGAGACCCCCCCCGCCCCGCCGCCAGCCCCTGCCTCAGCATCTCTCTCATCCTCCCTCCCCGCCCCGCCCCACATCTCCACCTTCGGACCCAAGCGTCCCGCCTTCGCTCGCCTCAGACAAGTCGGGGGCTGAGGGGAAAAGGCGAGCACTTCGTCCGCGGGCTTTTTTCGCTTACATGAGTGGTCCTCCCTCCCCCGCCCCACATCTCCACCTTCGGACCCAAGCGTCCCGCCTTCGCTCGCCTCAGACAAGTCGGGGGCTGAGGGGAAAAGGCGAGCACTTCGTCCGCGGGCTTTTTTCGCTTCAGGGACATGAGTGGCGCGGCTGCGGCCGGGGCAGAGGCGGGGTCTGGCGGCCGCCGAGGCTGCTCTTGCTCTCGCCGCAGCGGCTGGGTACTTTGAGGACCTTCCCGGTCCGACAGGGGGACCCCGCTTTGGAGCACCCTCGTCCACACAGGGAGTGCTGGCCGTCGCGTAGGCGTCGCTGCGGGGTGAGCGCCTGGCCGCCCGCCCGCCCGTTTGCCGCCACCTGCCTCCTCCGGTCACTCTTCGAACTTCCCTTCGAACTTGCGCGAGGCTGCCCGATTCAGGCCGGTGGCCTCCACCGTCATGCTCCTTTCCCGGCCCGGAGGGTCTCCCCGCCTGCTCCTGCTGGGCGCGTGCTTGCTGTGGGCGCAGAGTTGCCTCTCCCAGCAAGTCCTGAGTGGTGAGTAAGGGGCAAAGGAGAGAACTTTACTCTGGGGGTTTCTTGGGGGTGGTGGGGGAGTAGGCAAAGAAATCAATCCCGTCTTTGAATGTTCCGGATTTTCCAAGATATCCAGAGCTATCCTTACTGCCCCCCCTTCTTCTTTTGAAAAATCTTAGCTGGTTGCAAAGTGAGCTGAATTACTTCGAAAGAGAGAGAGAAAAAAAGGCAGCTCCCTCTGAAAGGAGGGGAACCTCCTCATTTCAAACCTAGAGTGTGATTATTTAGCCAGAAAGCAAAATGCACTCTGTGCATATCTTGGGAGTATCCTTCCTTCAGGGGCATTTGCTGCAGGTTTTGGAGAGACGGTGTGGTGAGCCAGTGTCCAGATGCTGCCAGTCCAAGTGGTCCAGCAAGTATGGGAAACTTTTCAGCTTCGTGCTTAGAAATTCTGCTTACTGGCTGTGCTACAGGTCTCTGAATGAACTGTATTATTATCATCTTCCATGACAATGGTAATGCTGCATGGATGCCACTGAAGAAATGTCTGATGAATGATGCACTGTTCTGTGCAGAATATCCCTTGAGCCATTGTGTCACAGCACAGAGTTCTTCATATGAATGTCTACCGAACTTCAGTTGTCATTAGTATTGGGAAGTTTTGTTTAAGCAACATTTCCCTTTATACCATCTTTCCAAATGGAATAAAAGCGAACTGTATCTGAGGATAAAATGTGTTATTATGATGATCCATCTCTGCTTAACTAATGACAGCAGGGCTGAGAAAAGTCAGCTCCTACGGATCAGGCTGCAAGACTGTCCATCAGCAATTATTGCAGTGGGGAAAATGAATTAAATACTGTACTGGCATAAACAGTCTTAAGCAGACTATGTCTCATTGTACATAAACTTCTAAACAGGAAATCCAGCAACAGAACAGGAAATGATGATTTTGCTTTATTCTCATTATATATGGGTGTAAATGATTTCTGCTTTATAGAGTATATTGATGAAACAAAGGTATTAAACTATAGCTCCCAAACTCTTTCCCCATCTTAACTTTTCCATACATTTTTATTTGCATTTGCATTCAAGTTTATAGATTTTTTTAAAAATTCTGACACTGAAAATCATAGAATACAAAAGCGGTTGAGGTTAACAGAATACCCTATACCTACAACTAGTGCTGATCCAGTCGTACCTTGAACATTTGTTTCTGAGTAAATAGATATTAGGGTGACCCTTCCCAGAATCCAGTGAAACTGGAGAATTCTGACTTACTGTTAGGGAGTTCTACTCACGTTCTTCACATGTAACATCATTGTACCTCCATGAAGACGATATTTTAGGCTATAATTTCAAACAAATGATTAGAGTTTTGGCTCACCTACCTGAGACAGTTGTGGGACCAGAGAAATTTTGATTTCAAAACAAAATGAAAGATTCTTGTCACTGGCATTTTATGATTTCACTGTGGGGTACCAACAGGACTCATCTCCTATGGGTGTCAGATCTTCCTTTAACTCTTTTCTGGAGCACAATAAAGCGTCATGCGTGGGAATAGCATGTTAAGCTTTAGAAGTAAGCCTTGAAACTGACCCGTGAAAAGCAAAGAGCCAGGTGGTACATTCAGTGTGTTGACTCTCACAGGACAGTGAATTCACTGCAGAGTCAGAATCATAATTTTGTAACATACTAACAATGACATTATGACAACAAAACCAGAAAGAAAACAAAGCGAAAATGTTATGGAACTTGTACTCCATGTGTCTGAAGAAGTGGATTGTAAATGGAAGCCTTCACTGAAATAAATATTTTAGTCTTTGTATTTTTGTTTTGTTTCTGTTCCTGTCATAGTTATCTTTCTAAAAATGGCATTCATGAGAATCACAGGTATGGCGGACTATTACATTGCAGTTCCTGGGAAGGGAGAAGAGTTTACCGTAGAGATACATATCCTAGTGGTGAAAATAATATGTAGTTCTTAATATTACTACAACTAGTACTGGTGCAATTTATAAACTACTTGCCATCTGCAAAGAATTGAAGAATGGTATATATATAATATGGAAAAAAACCCAAAACAAAACCCTCCACAATTACCATAAGAATAACAGGAGGATCACAAAATGAATCATAGAAAAAAATATTCAACCAGAGAAAAACAAACAAACTAATCATTTAAAACATATTCTTTTGTATACACTAATACACACACAGGAATTTGAGATGATCCCGGGAAGCTTAGTTTGTATTGGCCTTAATGAGCATAGTCTATAGGGTGAACATTTATTTATGTCAAGACTTCTTGGTGGTGGCACTCTGTCACTTACATTCTCTCCCAGTAGAAAGCCAGTTGTTTCTCTCAACAGTTATCATTTAGAAGCTACAAAAATTACACATAGTTGTACATGTTTTGGGGGAAGGGCCAACTGCTTCTTCTCTTTCTTTTGGTTCCTGATCTTTCTCAGGGAAACTAATATTAACATGCCCACTCTGCAGAATGTAGACTGAAAAGCTATGTTACAATTTTCAAGCCTTTTTCCTGGAGTAGGCAACCCAAGGAAGAAAAGCTGTATAGGATGAAAAGCTCTATGAACATTTTGTGTACAAGTTTCCAAAAGATGTACCTTCACCTTTTGAAATAAAACAAAAGGAAGAGGATGGAGTTAGCAATGATTGTCTCAGGAAACGAAGGTCAAAACCATCCATACTGTGTGGAAGAAAGACAGAGAAGAAAGACAGGAGCAAAAATCAACTCATTTGAAATGTGGTGTTGGAGGAGAGCCTTACCAGCCAGAAAGGCAGAAAAGTGTGCACTCAATGAAGTCTAGTCTGAATTCAGAGCAGCTCTGAGTCAACTGAGGCTATCCTACTATGAACATATAATGAGAATACAGAACTGACTAGAAAAGACAATGTTGCTGGGAAAAGTAGGGAGGGCAGTAGGAGAAGAGGAAGGCCTAACATGAAACAAATTATCTCATTAAAGGAAGCCACAGCTGTTAGTTTTCAAGACCTGAGCAGGACTTACTGGAAAAGAAAATATTTTGAAGAAGGTGGGGGGGGGGCAGTAGGAAGAGATGCTCTTTGTATGCAAGATCTAAGCAGAGCTGTTAATGACAGGACAATCGATAGGTCATTAACTCATACAGTCATTGTATATTCAGAAGTGACTCGATAGCACATAACATCTTTGGATTTTGTTTCTTAATTACCAGGCTATTATATACTGACAAGATGGATGAAATGGTTGAAACAAGATATAGGCATCAAAGTTTTGCTAACAATGAGTAAGACTATCCCCAGCCAAAAAAGACTATCCCCAGCCCCCCCTCAAATACAATCCTTTCCAGTAATTTCACAGCTTAACTTCTGAATATTTGTTCTTTATTCTATTTTAAAACATTTTTTAAAATATTTGTACAACCAGGTACAGAATTCATTTGTAATGCCTGTTTGGTCAGAAGGAGTTGAAAAATTCTCCCCCTAAGAGTCAGCTAATTGGGTCCTGGTTGACAAAGTTGCTTGTAGAACTGAAGCTGATTTCCTCTTTGAAGTCTTACATCAGGAACCTCCTCACAGAAATCCTGAGATAATGTTTTCTGAGAGCACCCTGGGCTGGGACAAACACAACTGCTCTGTGCTTTTGTAATGCAGAAATTCTTTGAATATGCCTTACAGAACTGTGTGCCAATTCCCTGGAGATATGTGGCAAAATGTTCCTTTCTGGCAGACATCCATTACTTTCTTTAAACCAAGCTTGGAGTTTTGAGTCTAAACAAAGCCTGTCTTTTGACTCTGTTTTTGTGACTTTTCATTACCCTCCAAAATCTGTTGCAACAATGTCTCTTCTTTGGAATGTTCTTCTTGGTAATTCTGTTACACACTTGTCTGGTCTTATAACGAACTGGTTGTTTTTCCCTTGAAGATCAATATTTCAGTCTCTGCAGCCTGGATTCCTTCCAAATTAAAAAAAAAACGAGTGGAACAAACTTCTCTTTCATGATAAGCAAAATTGGTCTTTACAATATGTATGAGGTACTTTAAATCCAGGGTCATTTAAGGTTGCTTGTTTCTGCATGGTGAGGTAGTGATAAACAGTTTTACTTTTAAAAAATTTAAAACCCTCTCTCCAAACTTATTTTACTTATTTATTTAAAATATCTTTGTTTCTCCTTTCTCCTTAAAAAGGACCCAACTTTGGCACAGAGAAAGAGCAGATTGTCTTCTATATCAGTGCCAAATTTGGTGCTGATCCAAAGTTACAATTTTTTTGTTTGAACTGCCGCTATGTAATGAAATTAAATGAACCAAGTTCCTGGCAACACAGAATGTTTTGAGGTGATATTTACTTATTAAAATATCCCTCCTCAATGGCAGCTGCCTGACCTACCAGACCATTTCAGATGAAACTCCTCTGGGTAGCTACCCCAAGAAAGGCCCACAAATCTTCTACAAGAGGTAGGGTCTTCTTTGTTTTGGCTCCATCTCTGTGGAACCAGCTCCCAGAGGAAGTTTGCCTGGTCATTCAGGAGGCATCTGAAGATGTGGCTTTTCAGGGAGGCTTTCCACTCCAACCCTAGCTGAGTTGATTGTACATCTCTATCCAGTTACTGTAATTTTTATTATTATATTCATTTTATCCTATGTTTAGTTTCATCATTCCTTGGGTGCCTTATATCCCTATGTGTTTAGTTTGTTACATAGTTTTTTATTATACTACATTTTGATTAAGTACTTACTGTAAACTGGCCAGAATAGTGCTTCGGCACTAATATCTGTGAAGATTCTCAGTCATCCAGATGAGGTTATTGACATCATGGAATACTTACCAAGACCTGTGGTACAAGGGCCCCTCTGCCCCTAACTATGCTCTTCTTTGATGTCTATGCTTTTTCACCTGTGCCATTCTAGTATGAGAGCAGTGATAAGACTGAAGTAATGTCAGACTCATTCTGGTAGTGGAATATATTCTACTCAGATGAAGAAAGCATGTTATTGGACACTGGTGACAGTGT